TGGTTTCGATCTTTTCTCTTTTTCGACTTTCGATCATATTTCCGCTCACCTGTAACCAAATACCATCACGTCGATATATTATCTCGCTATTTTGTCGAGGTAGCATCACGTCATTTTAACGTCACCTGTGCGGTTAAATTGACGTCCCCAAATGACGTATCTAATTTACTAAATTCCATCTAAATATTTTTGGTTACAAGATTTAACAGGTACCTAAAAAATTACTCATAATTACGTATGGTTGCTAGCTGAGAATATTTACCTCGGCTAATCTTTTTTATATTAGGAAAAGCAGATTGTATTTTCTCAGGGTTCAGGGTTTAATCACAAAATGGAATACTAACAATGAAAATGAAGCGTTTATTATTTTATTCTAATAAATGTTTAACCCTTAAATGGAGTTGTGGGGTCTTCCGCCCCTTTTGAAATATTTAAATGCAATTAAAACGCACATATTTAATATTTAGATCTCGCCGCGCCATCTACTTTTAATATTTCCATAAGCAATTGTCGGACACGCGTCATCCTTGATTTAGTATTGCTTGTACCAGCAGGCGGTAAAATTCGTTTGGGATCTATCTAGCACCACAACGCCAGTGGCGTTATATTTTTACAATGCCTGGTACTTTTAAAAGAGTGCATTATGGTGACTCTCATTTGACGAAATGGTAAGCAAATTGTATGATGAAGTCAAAAGTGAACTGAGTGATTATGATGACTACACAGACAGTGATTTTATCCCAGAAAGTAAACATAGCTTTGATTCTGAGTTAGAGATGGAAAATCAGGAAAGAGAGGAAAGCAACAATGAGGAAGAGGATATACCATTAAATCAAAAGTTTTATTGCGGTAAAAATCGATACAAATCGTCTACTGTTCCTGCTAATCATAAGTTGAATATAGGAACCAGAAAAAAAAACTTGGTAAAAGTTCTTCTGGGTCTGAAAGGTTCTGCAAAAAGTGGTGATGTTGCTGATCCGTTAAAAATATGAAGTTTTCTTTTTACAGAAAATATGGAAAGTAAAATAAGTCTACGCACAAATGGAAAAATATTATTATTCCAAGATAAATTCAGCACTCCCGATAGCTCGGAACTGAGAGAGCTAATAAAGGAAGAATTTAGAGCGTCTAGCTGTCTTGTATTACTCTGCAGTCGAATGATGAAGACCTTCAGGAAATATTTGCAACGGACGGAACTGAATAAAATATATTCAGATGCATTATGTCCTTGAAAAAAGTATATGTGTACTTTTATATCTAAGGTTTGTTGACTGACTAGTAATGTGTAAAGATTTTCTATGCTAATAGAGTCGTTTAAATTTCAGTTCTGATAATGCACAAGACAGAGAATAACGCAAAATAAGTGATCGAACTGCAGCAGTGTCCTGGATATTTGATGTTTTGTTGAACATTGTCAGAACTTTTATATAATGGGAGAAATAGCACGAATTGACGAAATGATGATATATACCCACTATTTGTATAATGGCTAAATTTACAGTGGTAAGGACAGTGATGGCTTTTCTTTAACAAATGAGAGAGCCTTGTTAAAACCAACACAGTCTGTCGTTCAATTACTATTTAAACCAAAATGTCATAGCAGATAATTGGTTCTCATCAATTAAAGTCATGGATGAACTAAAAAAGAGGGCTCACCTATGGTGGCACGCTCAAACGAAACAAAAAGGAGATTCCCAAAGAGTTCCTTCCAAGTCGGGAAAGAGCAGAATGATCTTCTATTTACAGTTTTACTAACAACTATATAATTGTTTCTTATATATGAAAAAAGGAAAGTCAGTTCTACAGTTTTTTTTACAGAATTTATAGTATATTAATATTTATACTGTAACCTCCCACCCCCCGGTCGCTTCTTAATTATTTAAAAGCGTGTATTTAATTACCTCCATCCCCTTTGTGAAACTTAAAGTAACTCATACTTACTGTACTTGGCCTTTTCCTTTAGTAGTAGTAATCGTCTAGTTAATTAATTGATATATAGGATTCAATGCAAAGTTTGGTACAAATTTGTGAATGAAATAAAACATAAATTGTATTTAACTTATTTATTTTATCCTCAAATAAAATAGCCATACCATTATTTAAATTGGGGAATTAAAAATTATATTTCCCCCGCTCAAATAAACAGGCCACTTGCCATTAATTATATACTGTTGAAGAATTCTTGAAGATATACAGCAGACGTCCTCAGAGTTGCACAATCTTTAATAATTCTTTGTTTCGTCGTTTCTTTTTAATATAGATGCGCTTACTAAGATACAGTCATTGTAATAACAGACGGATATTCCTTATGTTTTAGTCTCACCTAGGGGGGGGGGGGTTACATAGTGTAGTCCTACTAGAATAGAGCCAGATCAGTACCAGCGAAATACCCCTTGTTTAGATCTACCTACAGTGTGAAGAATGAGAGATAATTATTTAAGATAGTCCTAGCAGTCAGAAGTGTCATTTACCCCAAACAGCTGAGCGGTTAATTTAGTAGCTATTAGCGAGGGTGTATCAGCACTTCGGTAGACCAAATTCTTAAAAAGTTTTAGGCTGATATAATTAAACGGCAAATGCATACTGGGATTAGTCCCTCTAACGGCCCAAATGTGACGTTAATGAATAATACGTTTCTATAATAATGAATAATATATAATAAACCTCTTTTTAAATGTTGACCCTCCATCTATTTTTGACGTTTTTATATTGTTATTGATACGTGAAAGTGTTGCTGATTTGGAAATATTAAAGGGGCTTCGAGACGTAAAGCACCGGGACGTGTATCACCGAGACGTTGAGTGTCGGAATGTAGAGTGGCGGGGCGTAGAAAGGGCGTCGGGACGCTAAACATCGTATAAGAGAGAGTGTCGTGACGGTGAAAGGTAGGGAAGTAGGAACGTAGAGCGTTGAATAGTATATAGGGCATCGGAACGTAGAGCTTCGAATAGGACAGATGACGTCGGTACGTAGAAAGGTAGGGAAGTAGGGCATCGTGACGTGCATACCTTTCCCAATCTTCTTAATTATATTTCATCTTTAAACTACTTCGCATTATTTAAAAATTAGTTTTAGAATTAGACACTAAAATAGCGAACAACTTAATTACTAATTAAATACTATTTGGGTGTTTTACTCGTATGTCAAACAATCTTAGCACCTGAATTTGTCATTTTATTTCTACTGTACTCTAAGACATTTTTCATTTTTTAAATAAATTTATTATTTATTATTAACCAGTTTAACTTATTTCTAATAAGCATTTCTACATAAAAAGCTATTGGCAAGTGGCAGACCCTGTTACTATACCTAACTGATTGTACAATTTCTTTGTATGTACGATAATCTTTTTGTTTGAAACACTTTTGTGTACTGAATGATAGGCTTATCGATCGTGTCATTTCCTCATGGGGAATAGAAAAATGAACGGATAAATATTTCACATTAAAAATAGAAACTGACGCCATGCTGTTCATTGATTTACGTTTATAATCGTTAAAATGAGACTTACCAGGAAAAAATCGTTGAATGAAAAAATGTGATATTTTTAATTCTAGATACAGAATATTCAAATAAATCTTTGATCATGTATTAGAAGAGATATGCCTTACTCGTAGAAGTAGTAGGTTTTATTTTTTTTTATTTTTGTGTCATCGGCATTAACTACTTTAATATATTTATTATGGCTAGAAAAAACAAAAACGGTAAAATTTTATAAAAAAAAACATTCAAGAATATTTTTATTTTTCCTTGTATTACTTTTCGGAACTGTACCTGTAGAGCAGTGGTTCTCAAAGTGGGCGATAGCATATCCTAGGGGGTAGAAGGCTCAGGGAAAATGGGGGGCGTTAAGGTGGTCTAAGGGGGCGGTACACATATTGAACAATTATGTTTTAATACATAGGGTGGCTTTGTTTTATTTTCATTAACATTTCAGCATCGGTAACAGTTTTCTAAAAGTACACGCGCTTCCAAAACAAATAGTTTGTTGATTTTTTACTTAAGAAGTGTGCTGATCATTTCAGAGGCAACATTTTAATATATATCGAAAATCCTACAAATCGATCATCGCCAATGTGCCTTCTTTGAATAAAATACATCCAAATAAGAAAGACAAAGATATAACATCTTTTCAAGAATTGGAAAAGAAATACGTAGCTTATCTTCTCGGCAAGATTTCATTGTTAATTTCTAAATCAGGAAAACCACATTCTATTGGGAAAGATTTAATTTTAGCGGCAGTAAAAGAAGTCATAACCACTGTGCTCCACAACCAGCGGCAGACATTATCCGAAAAATTCCTCTGAGTAATAGTTCCGTGTAAAGATGAGATGGCTAAAGACATAGAAGACTCATTGTGTAATTATCTGAAGATATGCCAATTTTCAATTCAGTTGGACGAGTCCACTTTATCAACTAATGAAGCGTTATTGTTGGCATATGTGAGATTTATCAAAGATGAGAAAATATGTCAAGAATTATGTTTTCCCAAAAACACATACAAAAGGAGAATCCATATTTAAGATACCAAAAAGTTTTTGTGACGAACAGAAAATTCCTTTAAATAATATTTTATCAGCTGCTACGGATGGCGTTCCTTCTATGACTGGAATACATAGAGGCTTCATAAGATACTTATAAAATGAAGTTCCAGATGTGATTGCCATACATTGCGTCATTCATTTCCAGTATTTGGTTGCAAAAAATCTAAGTGAACGTCTGGACACTTCATTGCAATATGTTATCAAAGCAGTTAATACAATCAGAAGGAATTCACTGAATAAGAGATTATTTAGTCAGCTTTGCGTTGCCAATGATGAAGATTCCAATCGTTTGTTGCTTCACAGAGAAGTGCGCTGGTTATCAAGAGGTACTACTCGCTTTTACAAGCTGTTTGATTCTGTAATAATATTCCTGGGAAACAAAGACATCAAAGCATGATATTACCTACTTGACAGACCTCTACAAATTGTTTAATGATGTTAATCTCCAACTTCAAGGCGACGACCTAAACTTGAATAAAACAAAAAATGTTGCTGCAGCTTTCGTGGCCAAACTGCAATTTCACAAAAGAAATATGGGCAGGCGTAAATTCAATAACTTCCCTATTTCGTCAGAAATATCTTTCAACATCAACAATGATGACTTGCTTGTTTACTGTCAACACTTGGAGAATATTCACGCTGATGTCAAAGAATGATTCCAGGACATTTTGAGCATGGATTCTTTGTCAAATATCGACAAAGTAGGATCATCCCAGTCGGAAGAAGAACTAATAGAACAGACAATAAACGAAAAATTAAAAATTAAATTCAAAAATGGTTACCACGAATTTTGGTTGCAGAAGCCAGTCAATCTCACAACTCTGTCCTGGATTATGGTCAATGATTCAAAGATTCCTAATAGCATTCCCATCCTCGTATTTATATCTAAGAATATAAATAGGCTGCATGTTACTGAAAGCGGAGACGTAGGACGTTGGATAATTCTAAAAAGTAAAACTGTTACATTAATTTTGGGTTTAAATAGAGAGACTAGTCTTGAAAAAAAAAAAGACTTTACAAAACCAGTTATGAAATATTCCGAGCATTTGTGAAGCCTCGGCGTTCCACCCCAAAAGGACTAGAATAGCCTATAAGTAGTTGCCTAAGCTGCTTGACTATGAAATTAGGGGGTATTTTTATTTTCCACTGGTGAATGGACGCTTCTTCTGAACTCCAGGACCCTTTGACTGGTGACAGTGCTGCCTTCATCAAATAGTATATAGACAGAAGTATCTAAAGACCTATCAGTTGTTACAAATGGGTCCTTAGGCATCTTGGTTGTTACAGTAACTGAACTTATATGATCTTACTAATTATAAAAACATTTTGATTTTAAAGTTTATATTAATATTTTAACATACAATTCTATTTTTTTTAATTTGTCTTTTGTGTTAACTTATGTTGTTATTCCAAATAGTGAACCATTTATATCCTTTCTTATTAAATATCTTCTTTATTAGATGACATGTCTTTTTACCACTGTGTAAGATTTGAAATCCCCCCTCTTCCAACGACATATTAATAAATAGATCTGTGAATGTTCCGGATATCACAATATAATAGAGAATATTTGTATAATAATGGTACAATACCATATTTTTATCTATAACTATATATTCATACAATGTAAATTATTTTAAAATGCTAAACTGCAAAAATAATTTGTTGAAAAAATTAAATCGTCTTATAGGACAATATCCTCGTTTTAACTGAATTTTATGTCCGAAATTACGTCTTAGGAGGAAAGGTTAGTTATTCCTGTATACTTATTTTAATGTATTACTGTGAAATCAAGTTATTTTGGCTCAATGTACATAAAGGCGCATGTCAGTATTTAGCTGAGGCGTAAAAGAATCTTGGAGCGCCCCTGTAGAAGCAATAATCACTTCAGGATTGACAATGCAACTTATCTACCCAAAGCCTACTTGGGACAGTGTAGCAAATACATTAAAAATTATAAGAATTTGTCGAACGGTGGAAAAATGCTCCAAGACACAGGTAGTTTAAAAACAATCATTGTTCCCAACGGAAATGATGGACACATACAGAAAAATAGTTGATGATGCCTTAGTCCGTTTGTTAAAAAGATATTGTAAATTATATGAATATGAGCGTAATAGATTTTTTTTAAATATCTGAAGAAATTACTTTCTGTCGCAATATATTTAAAGTCTGGTTAGAATTAAATCTGCAATGGACGCTGAAAATCAGCAAAAAGGTAGATCTAAAGAAAGTCACAGATTTCCTTGTATACCTAATATTTTTTTATCTAAAAATAAAAACTTGCATCTTATTTCAGCAATAGTTTAATGCCTACATATAATTTAATTGAAGTTTCCTGAATTACCTAAGAAACATTCGTTTCAATTCGTTGTCCCATAAACACCTGTGTCGCATCTCTACAATTATTATGTACATGCTTGGTTCAATAATGGGCGTAAGATACTGACATATGCCGTTTATAATTCAGAACTGTGTGATTTACCTTCTAGCGTCGAATTATAGCGCACGCGCAACCTCGAATTTCTCCTCTTTCCTTTATAGTCCTGGCGATTCCCAGAAAGAGGAAAATAATGAGGCTCATATTATTTCTATTAAGAGTGTCTACCAGGATGGTAAAAGCCTAAGTAAATAAAGAGACTTGAAATAGTGTACAAACTAATAGGATCTTTCTTAAGGGTTTAATGTTCTTGGTGTATGAAACCCTATGACGCCAAAAAATAACGACTGACAATGGTTCAGAATTGACAAGACAAGCGCTCTGTGCATTCGCTATCGAGCAAGTGCATGAGGGAAGAAGGGAGAACTGGTGAGAGTTGCTTCAGATCCACTAGCACCGTTAAAAAAGAACGATCAGTTAGTCAGGAATAGCTCTAGTACTACTCGTGAGTAACCCAGATGACATAACGGAAAACACTCAATATGAGGTTAGTAATCTGAAGAATGGAATAAGTACATCAGTGTAGGGGCACCTCCAGACCAAATTCTCAAGTGGGCCCATTGCCAATAACAGTTCTCTTTTTAGCACTTTTTTTAATAGAAGGCTTATAGCTAGTAAGAATTTCAACTTCGGAAGGAGCCATGGCCCCTTGCCCCTTCCACCTAGAGCCGCCTTTGCATCAGTGTGTAAAAATAAAATTTTATTAATAATAGGCTCAGCGCTTTCGGCTTAATACAGCCATCGATAGTCATAGCTGTCCTAAAAGGTATTGTGTAAAAAAATATAAAATTAAGAAACCTACGTCAGTCTAGTACGAGCCCCTTCCCATTTCAGTTGACCCAACTATTGAAATTAAGGAAATATATCTTGAAGTTTTTGTTTAAGTTCAGGTATTGTTCTTGCAGGATGTTTTCGAAGTACCTTTTTCATCTCATGCCACAATGTTTCTATTGGTGATTAATCAGGACTACTTGAAACCCATTCCAAAAGTGGAACACTGAAGTCTTCCATCCATTTTAGAGCTTTTTTTGACGTGTGACATCCTGCTCCATCCTGTTGAAATACAAAATCTTTCCCTGATGTCAAATATAATTCCATAGTCGGTAAAAGTGATTCCTCCAAAATGTCCAAATATTTATTTGTATTTACAATTCCTTCAATAAAATGCAGTTTCCCTATTCCTTTAGATGACATGCTGCCCCAGACCATGACCGATGCGGAAAATTTTACTTTTCTTTTGAGACAGTCTGGATGGAAGGCTTCATGTTTTTTGCGAATAACTCGACTTCTGCTATCTCCAACACAAACTTCGAATCAGGCCTCGTCACTCCATTGTATTGCATCCCATTTATGAGAAGTCCAACTAATATGTTCTTTTGCCCATCTTATTCGATTTTTTTTCTGTTTCGCAGTTAGTAGTGGTTTTTCTTTAACCTGTAACAATATTGTCAATTTTAAGCAAATATATTGGATTGTTTTAGTGTCTTCACCATGTTTTTTTTATTGTTTTTATTATTATAAACTTACTTTGTAAGTCCCAAATCCCAGTTTGCGAGCTTCTCTATGACATGAAGATCTGGAAATTCGTCTTCCAACAGCATCACTCCACTATGAGCACTTAATTCAAGGTTATTAGCACGACGGTTGGTTTCAATAATTCTTCTCAATGCTCGTCTATCGACATTTGTAATCTTGCTTTTTCTAACATGACGGGGCTTTGGGTTGATTGAACCAGTAGTTTTGTATCTTTTAACTATATTTCTTACACTATATCGTGATAAATCTAATATATTTGCAATTTTCGAGTTCGATTTTCCAGAATTGCAATGTTTTATAACAAGAAAACTTATTTTTTCGTCAATAATTTTTCCTCTACCCATTTTATTAGACAGAAATAGCTTAAAAGAGGTTAAATTATCTTGTGACAGTTATTTGCATTATTGTTTGTTATTTTTTCAAAGCTACCTTCGATTTTGGTTTATTTTCCAACGAATTGAATTCAAGTTGAAATAATGCAATAATGCTCCATGTGTTAATAAACTTAAAAATAAATAAAAAAATATAATATTTTCTCGTTCTAGTTCTAATATAATTCTAAATTGATGCATTGGTAATTAATTTATGATTTAAAAAAGCATGTAATCTTTAATACTTTCTTATTGTCTTTATATAAAGAAAATATCAATAGGTGGGCCTACTGAAATGGGAAGGGGCTCGTAGATGCTTCCACAGGAAATATTATATAAAAATAAAATATTTAGGAATAAAAATTAATAAAAAAACATTCCAAAAGACATTTATCTTATTCTATAAACATCATCATCAATGTCTTTTTAATATGTTTACCACGAGGATCGACGATGGTCGATGATCTCCAATAAATCAGTTTTAATTGAATCATTAATTTATCACATAATTAACTGGTGTAACTATTGCTGGGTAACCAGAATTAGCCCTTTTTCAATATTTTCTTAATATATTTTTTAAATGTTTTATTTTTATCTAAGATTTCCTATCATTGTATCTAGTAGACGCAAATTTCTTAATTTTATGTTCTCTTACATACTTATAGTTAAAATACAACACTTTTTAGGACAGCTATGATAATGGCTTTGTTAAAAGCGTTCAGCCTAATATTAAAATTTAATTTTTACGTTCTTCATCTAAAATATTAGTAGGCACCATGCACAGTAAAATTACGTCAATAAGAACATTAATTTGATATGTATTTAAGTAGTAGTAGTTTTTGATTTATCTACGTCTTCATGTATTTTAGCCAAGTTTATTTTTACATAACATTAACGTCCTTCACATCCTAAACCAATCATAATTATATCAAAAATTAAGTACATAATTTTGAAAACCATTTAATATATTCTATGTAATTGTTAGCATCTGATTTATCAATAACAATATAAAAAAGATAATTGCTAGGAGATCAAAAGTAATACAAATTTTTAATTTCTCGAAAATAACAACTGTTACTTCGTTCTTATTCTCAGTTTTAAATTTAGTAAATCTTAATAGATGTAAAGCCAAATTTTACGTGAATTTAGTTTTCACGATAAATAAAACATTCTATTTTACAGCTAATTCACCTTTCGTCCATATTATCGTTGACTACGGTCCAAGGGTGTCTGGTCTTTACAAAAACATACCACATATTCCTTAGACCAAAATAAGTCGATTTAAGTAAAATTACTTTTGTACAAAGTT